CACACACACACCAGCTGAAGGAAATCTGTAGGCAGGAGAGGATCCAAGTATAAAAAATGTTCAAGTGCAAATAATGTGTCAATGTAGTTTTTATGCTTCCCATGCTTTCTGAAAATGGTCTGCAGGCAGATAAAAATGGATACCTCAAACAAGCGCACATTCCCTCTATACAACCACATCCCCCCAGATGGCAAATGTCACAAAACAAAATAACCAAAAAAAACAAAGAAAGAAGAAAAATCAAGAATTCCAAAAGAAAGAAAAATACATTTCTTGTACAAAGAATATCCAGCCAATGCTTGTGACAGAAACATCTCTCGACACAGCCGAACGCACGACCCAAATCCTTCATTCCTATACAACTCAAAAGCTTTAAAAGGTTACGTTTTTAAACATGCAACACCATTCAAAGTTCCTATCTAATTTCTGCTGTGCTAGATTCATAGTAACTTCCGCAGACACCACCGTTTCCAGCTAACAATCTAGAACTATGCGCTAACGACCTACCAACATTGTTCCAAATACTTTTAAGGACACTGATGTCAAAAAAAATAATAATAATAATAAAGAAATGCTCATTCATAATGTGAAAGCACAATTCCCTGTCAAGTATCCATATAAAGCACTTGCGTAGCATACTGTGTGCTCTTCCCTTTACTCTGGCAGAAACAGCCCAGTAGAGAGATAATCCGTGGGGTAGTGCAGTTCTGTGGAGACTGAGAACAATGTGACTGAGCAATGACAAAAACTCTACGCCTCTGTTTACATGTCCTGAAAACCCATGTAACACTAATGACAACATGCAGCTGTGACTGAACTTTTGTCATATGCTGAAACACTGACATCACTCCGAGATGGCGAGGAGGACTCAACTCTGGCTTTCCGAAATCCGCTCACCTAAGCGTCCTCAGTTTTAGGATTCTTTTGATCTGTGTCCAGCTCATTGCAGGCATTAAGAGACTAAGAAACAGCCATCCCTACATTCAGATTGTCAATTGACTAAAGACCTGTTTTTTTTTTTGTTTGTTTGTTTGTTTATTTGCACCCCCCCAGTCGTAAGTTAATTGAGGGCAATTTTGTTTATATATAAACTGCCCAAGGTAAATGCAACTGCGCATTTAACAGCCTTTTACTCAGTGTCGCGCTTTAATAACAGCCAAAAATCTCTCCCCCCCTTTTACTGTGACATCTTCTCTCAATTAGTGTAGTTCTACAGTGCCTTTAATTGACAGTCTTAAAGCCTTTATAACATGCAGATAAAAGCATTACACATAGTGACAAACTTGTTAGGCCTGAGCTGCGGTGCAGTTTTTGTAACATTCCCAAAGCAGATTTTTTTTTTCACTTTTAGCATATTTTAAAAAGGTTTATACATAAACTTTATGCTGTTACCACAAACAGCACAACATTAAAATCCAGCATTATCAGTACCTTTAGGCTTGCACAATGTATAATGGCTGCATGCAGCCATATAATTTAAAGCTACGTCTCTCAATGATCTGTTTGAAGGCTCTGGCAGACTGGCAGATTGTGGACATCTTTTGCTATACAGTCATAAATCCTGGATGCTAAAGGTAAACCTTTCATCAACAGATAATCATGTTTATAAATGCCTATCTGTTTAACAGTACGGCTGAAAACAAGCCGTGTGACAAGCTCCAAAAGTAAAGTCGGTCCCATATTAAGACAGAAGCACTTAAGTATTGGTCATATAAGCGCTGCCACGCGCCAATAAAGGGTCTGTTAACGCATCACGGAGAAACTTAATCCTCTGAATGAGGAGTTAGGTTTGTAAATTTGCAAAAAGAAAGATTATAATCAGAATAATAGGTCAGTCGTTGCAAATATGATGATGCCCTACCTTTCTATTTGACTAACAGCACAGTACAAATGCATAATGTTCTCATTTGCAGTCTGAGTGTTGTAAGTGAAAGAAAAAAAAAAAAAAACAGCAAAAGATGAGCCAAATTGGTCAGTCTGCAGAGACCTTAAAAAATACCGTTCCATGTTGGAATCATCCTTCATATCTACTACAGATTGAATTTAACAAGTGATAGAATTTTAGAGGAATATTCGTTTCCCTACTCCGCAGTCTCAACGCCAATATAATTTCTTTTAAAAAACTAACAAAAAACGGTTACACTTGCAAAGCTGGATTATTGTAGATGTAACCAACATCAGCTTCTGCACTTGATGCATTCGGATGAGATTACTTGGCTGTATATCTCTGCTGTGTTTTTGCAATAGATTATGTGCTGGCCTACATTTCTGGAAGTAGAGCCTCCTGCAAAAAACCCCAGAACAGTGGAATGAAGGGCCGAACAGTGACAGGGTCACACGGACACAAATCAAGAGCCACCAGAACCAATCATCTCAAAACTGTAGTTGTCTGTAAACCCCTTTTGTAAATCTCTTAACTGAACACAAAAGTGCAAATTACCATCTCTATCCTCAGTAGTGCTTCTCCTGCAGATAATCTTTCATCTTGTTAGGTAAGGGCAGTTTTTGGATAAGGTCTATTCTTGTGTATTGCCTAATGACAAAGCGGCAAAGGTACTGCAGGGAGCGCACTTGCATAAACCGAGATACTGGGTTGGTTAGTCTGACGGGGTAAGTTGCAGATCCTGGTAAGCGAGATCTGGAATAACAAAAAGCCCCATTCTCTGAGTCTTTGATAGAGTGTTCGATTAAGTCAACAATTGATGTGTGTCCCTCCACGTCGGGCTGCTCGTAGAAGCTGAAGCGTCCGTTGGAGTGTTCGATGCGGGTGTGGAGGGTTTTGCTCTGCGATCTGAAACTCAGGCTGAGCAGGTATCTGTCATCAGAGCTGTCTCTGACCAGAAAGGATCCATCGGCCAGGTTGACCAGCTTTTCCTCTGCCTCCCAGCGTGTGATGGGACCCCAGTACCAGCCCTGCCTAGCAAGCTTCTTCAGCTCCTCTGTCAGGCTGGTCACAACCATGGGCCCGCTGCTCTGGACTGAGTCGTATACCCGACTAACCCCAGGAGCCGAATTTGGGTCAAAGTTGAGGTGGTGTCTTACTCTCTCAGCTACCTGGCTGTCTGCAGAGCTAAAGCCCGAAAATGTCCTTGGAATATGTCCATTACTAGTCATGGGTGGCAGGAGTGGAGAAAGGGGAGGTGGCATCTCCACTCTTGAGTTTTGGAGCATCATGCCAGCAGAACCAATAAGAATACTATTGACTGAGGTCTCCATGAATATATCTGGAGGCATCCCATTCACCAGTTCATGCTCCTCCTGTCCCTGCTCTGTGTGGAGGGACCCATTGTCTGCCTCTGTCACCACCTCCATAGGAGAGGAACCTTCCAGGCAGAAAGAGTGAGACCCTTCGGGATACATTCCCTCATCTAAAGGCATTGTGTACTGGATGTAGTCCTGGGGCGTCAACCCCAGCACCACAGGCACATCATTTTCATCAATATTTAGATGCAGCTCACCATTTTGCGGTTGCTGGAGATTCTTTAAGGACTCTGCTTGGTCCTGAAGGAGCCCTTCCATCTGGAAATCATGAAATTCTTTCCGGACACCGTTTAAGTTGGGACTTGGGCTAGGAGAGTGAACCATGGCTTTAACTTTTACCTCCATTTTGATGCACGCATCATCAGAGTTGACAGACCGCAGAGGCCACGGAGAAGGGCTATAATGGTGACTCCGGAGGGATGCAGATCTAAGGGGTCTCTGAGCTTTTACCTCATTGAAGCTGATCGGGACAGAATTAGATGAGAAGGTGTCTTCATCGTCCACTGAGCCTATGGTCGAGGCGCCGCCTTTCACTTTCGCCTTCTGTTTGGTAGACAGCCTTCTCTTTAGCGATCCCATCAGAGTCTCACTCTTTGAGCGGCCCTTGTTCTGTCCCCCTTTTTCATCTTCGCTAGCAATATCACAGGCAGAAAGCTCTTTGGTGTAGCAGCCCCCAAAAAGTGACTCATCCTTCGAAAACTCTGCAGTCACTGAGGGCTGCTGGAGCATGACAAAGTCACCCTCCTCTTTGCCCTTTATGCTGAGTGACTTGCGGATGGTCTTAAGGCTTATCTTCTTCATTCTGACAGGCCCTCCAAAATGAGGGCATGGGATGGCCCTCCTGGTATCCTGATGAAAGTACTATCCACCGTGTCCTCCCATCAGGCCACATGAAACAAGTCATGCACACAGTGGAGCCATTAAACCCTGTAGTGAGAGAAAAAACATGCAAGATATTCTTTGTTTGACTTTTAAAGCACACTCTGAGATTGTTATTTATTATGTTTATAATATTGACTTAAGCCCTTGAACCACATAAAGAAAAATAAATCACTGAAGAAGGTTATTGTGGCCCTTAAACACAGTCTCCCACTCTCTCTTTTAAGTTGTACATAACCAAAAAACAAACAAACAAGCACACACACACAAACAATATCATCAGTTTTAATATCTAATTCACTAAATATTTCAAATTTAAGATCCTCAAACACGAACAGATGTCTGATAACCAAAAACAGCAGCAATCTGATTACTCACCATGATGAGCAGGAAAATGGTGACTCAGTTGGCTGGGTCAAGTTCCACTTCCACCACCTTTCATTGGATGCTACCAAAAACAACACAAAGCCAGCTCATTTGAAATGTTCACGTCTGATTAACATGTGAATTTACCAGAGGAAAACGTGCATCGTCAATCACGCACATTAACATTTAAAGTGGTTTAAATAACCAGACCAACCTCAGCTACATTTGTCCTTACCTGAATAGGCCTGCGGACACAAAAGCATGGAAGTAGCTTAGCTCCGGTTGTTAGCCTTTCACTATAACGCCAATATTGCAACACCGATGGTTACAATGATTACCATTGCTTTTGAAATAGCAACAACAACAAACAAAGCCAACCGAGATCATATCCGATGCCAATGTGAGAGCTGCTGTGTTGCTCAGATGCTATAATAAAATTTTGCTAACGACCAGTGTTAGCATGCTTACAATAAAAGTGCATTTGTAAATACCTGAAACCACTTATTGTAAACACGCACGATATAGCCTCTTACCTGATCACTTCTGCTTGTACTGATGGCCAAGACAGCACGAAGGTTTACGCATTCGCCTTGCACAACACCTTCATTTAAGGTTCGCTCCTTGACGATTGTTGGCTAATGTTAGCTTGACTTATACAGGCTTAGTACCTGAGCCAGCTAGCTTTGTTAGCGCTTTCTGTCGAAAACATTACCATCACCTTCCCTTCAGTCGGCTCCCACGCAAAAAAGAAAGCGCAAAGCGATTATACGGCAGGACCCTGTGCTACTCTAAACATATAGCTTTAAATTGCCGAGCAGAATTAAACAATAAGTTGACATCTTCAAGCCTAGGTTGGCTAACACTTTCTAGCGTTCGGCCTCTTCCTTTCTTCCTTTGTTGCCTGTTGAATTGTGGGAGCAGAGTCAGAGGACTCAGATGCAGCGAATCAGACACACAGCAGCTCCAGCACAACCACACACAGCCCTGCTACTCCGACATCATGTGCACATCAAATCAAGGAGAAAAAAATTAATTAGCATGAAAATATAATTTTTTCTGAGATTTATTTATTTATTTATTTATTTATTTATTTATTTATACCCTTAAATGTGAATTTGGGAAAACGTTTAATTCTAACTGCTTTAATGCAAGGAGTTGTTAATGCTTTATACTTTAGATGCAAAAATAGAAGATGTAAAGATGTCTGAAAGGGTACCTGTAGGCTAGAATTCAACACACTTTCAATTTAGCTCAAGTAAAAGTATTTAAGATGCATCCTCATATCTGTGCTGCATCAGAAGTGGAAGTGTTACACCACAGGAAAAACTGAAAAAAGGACTGCTGAAAAAGCTACTAGAAAAGAGAAAGTGCTTAAACTTGGGGGGGCGGGGGGAGTTGTTGCTTGCAAAACTTGCCCATTCAGTTCAGTCAGGATTGCAGAGACATGAGCCAGCTTTCTGGGCCGTGTGAAGTTATTAGCGATGCAGTCTCTGGTGTGATTTTGCATTTTAACAAATGACTAAAAGATTATTTTTCATAAGGTGCAACCGCCCTCTCGCAGACAGTGGTTTTTAAAATGCATGATCCAAGCTGTTTGGACTTTTCATAATAGAACCGCAGCATGGGAAGATTTAGTGTGGCAGAAGTTGCATCTATAATGAAGGGCTGAAGAGTTTTGGAAGTGGAGGGGTGGGGGTAACTGTCCTTAATCACTAATATGTAGTCCAGTCATTAACCCATAGTGTCATGTCCTGATTGTTTATTGTAGAGAAATGTAAAACTTTAAGGCATTGTTCTCAGCTTTGTTTCCATTTGTTTTTTTCTTCTCAAATTTCTGTAAACAGGAAACAGTGTATGAATATGCATAGCTGCTAATTAATATAAGTTGGCCACATAGTATGTATACTTTTTGTTTGTTTCTTGATTGTTCGCATGTGATTTACTTCATATGGCATGTAAAGTCCCCAGTTCAGCAATCAAGTATCAACTCCCCACTGCAGATATCACATAACAGCAGAGCTACAAACCTGTTTTTGTTCCCTAATGCTGGCTGTGCTCGGCCTCTTTGCAGAAAGGTCTTTCTAATTTGTATTCGCACGACATCAAGTTGGCTCTCAAAGTACTTCAAGTACTTGATACAACAACTAAAACTTGAACTCTGAAATGATACATTGGTTGCCTAATTAGTGTCAGTATTGTTTTAAAGTAGATTGTGTTTACTACTGCCAGGCTAATTTGGTCCATATACTGAACATTACATTGTTTTTTTCCACACTGTCAAGTGTATGGCAGTCGTTCCCCAACCTGCTTAGGGCAGCTGCGTGCAGACAGGCTCTATGCAAAGACTCTAATTACCGGGCCCTATTAGGGTTGATCAGGCTGCCTTCGCTTGATGTGTTGGCACGGGAGTGGAGGGCTGGTGGGGAGAGGCTAGAGAGGAGGGGTGGGAGCTCTTTAGATATAACACCAAGGACACTGGGAAGCAAGGATGCGATGTTTCTACAAGCTAAATTAGACCTGACAAACAAACTTTTGTGTGGTTGGTATTTGTTGGCAGGCTGTAAAAACAAGTAAATGCTTCACTGTGGGAATAAGTCTGTTTTGTCATGACAGCACAAACAGATCAAATAGTTGCTAATAGCAGGCTGTTTAGAATTTACAGAAAAGATATCTTGCTCTAATGGGAGCTGAGTATCAGCACTGTGTTATCAAGCGCCACACGGCACAACATATGACTGTCTCTCGCTCGCTCGCTCGCTCCCTCTCTCTGTCTCCTTCTCTTTTTCAGATCAATATTTCCCAAATAATTTGAATTTATGTATAAGCACGATTCAAAACACTGAATCGCAAGTCAGGATGGAAGACTGTACGCGTGGAGCAGGCTGCGCTGTTTTAATGAGACATCCCTACACGAGGGGAGGCTCCCCGCATTTCATCTTAATTTCTAATGAACACTGTATCAGCCATAAATTATTTGCAAAATGTGGCTACGCTTGCCTCAGTTTGACTGAGGCCTCCGACTTGACTTCATTGCCATCGGGGGATTGTAGGGGGGGCTCCCCTCGGTGCCCACCTTCATATCCTCAACACTTGCAGCAGAGCGGAAGACGGGTACAGCAGGCATGTCAGATTGTGACAGGGCTTGTGGGACCACTTGGGTTTCGTTTCAGGAGTGACTATAGAATAAGACAGGAAGTGTTTACCTCGAGTAGGATCTGAATATTTTAGGTTAAGATGATGGCGTAGCGCTTTGATCTCATGGGTTTTCTTAATCACATTCATTTTACCTTTTCCCCTCCTCAGATTTTCAAGGAGGTCTTCTGACATGTGCATTGATTGTTTTTACATGGACTGTGAATGCATACAAGGTAATGACTCAGTTATATAGCTGAGTCATAGAGCTCAATCACAACAGCAGCTTGGTTAAAACAATGAATAAATTGTCTATGCTTGCTCATCTTCTTCTTTGGGCCCGTTATGCTGTCACCCTTGATTTCACATGGGTAATTCTGCTAGTAGCTCATTTTATTTTGTTGCCATATGGGCTGCTGAATTTTGGACAATTACAATAATGGTTTGGTAATTAGCTGAGCTGACCTGGTTTTACGCATGAAAAGCTGTAATAGCAACACCTAGCAAGCTCTTGTGAAACATGTGGACATTTTTGTGGATTTTAATTCAACGTATTATTAGAGAGAGAGCAGAGGTTAGAGAAGATGATGTCTCCATTTTTTTTTTTTTACTATTTTTCAGCTTTTGAATATTTTTGCTAAAGTGAGGGTTTCTTATTATAGAATACAATCCTTTCTTTTCTTTCTTTTTTTTTAACTTACAAAAAGACTGTTGAATTTTTATTTTTTTTTTTTTTTTGGGGGGGGGGGGGGGGGGTTGCATAGCATCCAGGGGCCATACAAATGAGGTGTAGAAAAGAGAGCAGGAAATTAACATGCAGTCATTGCAATCAAACTGGGGAGCTACCAAATGGCCAAATGTGCCTGTGTGCCTTTACCAGCTATTGAGTCACCTCTATGGACTGTTTGAGCCCTGGCCTAAATAGTTAGCTCCACAACCATGAAAAACACATTAAAGGTGGATCTAAATGGTGTTAGTGATAATTACCCCCCTTCCCTCCCTTTTGGCATGATTGCAAAGAGTTAAAAAAAAAAAAAAAGGTTATTGGTGTCATACCAGTATGTTCTAATGGCATTTTACTTTATTATCTATTTCTTCTAAAACAGGGAGAAATATTTTTAGTTTTTGATTGCAGCTTCCAGATATTCATAAACTGTTAATCTTGCTTCTGTTAACCACAGTGTAAAAAAACAACTTCTCCTTTCTAATGATAAGAAGAAAAAGAAAGAAACAACCCGAGGTCACCTTCAAACACAAATTTAGCAACAAGCATAATGGAAAACATGACTAAATATTATAGTTGACATGCAATTTTGGGCTGTGATTTAGCCTGTGTAATAGAGTGTAGCTGATGGAGGTGGTGTAGTAGTAGTTAGTGTAAAGTATGCAAATGGATTTAAGGATGAAGGAGATCGGAGAGATAAAGGGGCGGGGTGGGGGCCCGTGAAAGTAAAGAGCAGATACTTGTGTTGTATGCAGTAAAACAAAAAACAGAGAGCAAATGAGGTGAAGCCGAATGAGGAGAGGTGTGATATGATCGATGGACCTGGTGCTGATAATGATCCTTGCTACTGAATTCTGTGCCATTTTAAGCTGATTAAAAAGTTTATTGGGGAGGCCAGCACGAATGACAGTAATCCAAGCAAGTGGTGACCAGGGTGAGAGCAAGAACTTGCATGTTGCATTGAGGAAGAAAAGAATGTAGTGTTGAAATAGTACAGTAGAAGGCTAAACATGAGACATTATTGATATGAGTGGAAAACAAGAGAGTATTACCCAAAATCACAGTTTTTATGACTTTTTTCTCCCCCATGGAAAAAGCAAATGGGCATATTTCTGGAAGGTGCGTTCTTTCTGCCAATGAGGATGATGTCACTTTTATTGGCATTTAATTTGACATCATTATTTATCATGCTGGTACTGATGGCCTGGAGGCAAGTGGAAGTAATAGTAGGAAGAGAGGTGCTAGATTTTGTAGGGATGTACAGTTGTGTGTCGGTTCCACCAAAATGAAGCCTTATTAGTGTTTACACCATTTTTTATTTATGATTTGCCCTTTTTCATACTTTAATGAGAAAGTTAGTTAAACCAAATCAGCACTATAGTTTGAGTTTGGGAGAATGTTTGTTTTTTTCATTTAATAAATCAAAGGAAAGATCCGAGGAGAATATCTGTAATGTGGCAGATCTTGCTTTTATAGTAAGATTCAACCATGCTTATGCTATAAATCTCTATGGGACTTTTAGTCTCTGCAAGTTATCTTAAAAAATGGAATAGACATCAACAGTTTAGTGCTCATTACTTTTATTTGTGCTGCCCAGTACGGTCTGGCACAAGTAAATGACTCATGATTGGCTTTAGAATCCAAACACTGAGATGCTTTGAGAGTAAATCTAGCTTCAAAGTATTTAAATTGGCATGCTTTCCACTCAGAGAACGGGCTTACATTTGTAAAGTGCCCGAGGTGGTTTCTGGCATATGAGTAATTTAGCCTGATGTGAAATAGCTGACAGATAACAAGTAGCTCTTTCTGATTTACAATGTTAAAAATCCTTAAATTAACCCTCACCCTGTCGAGTGGGGTCCATGCAGATGCATTTTTGTTGTATTTCACAGGTGGGTTTTTGTCTATCATTCTAATTTGTTTTGGCTTTTTCAGCCAATTTATTCCTAGTGATGTTACAGGATTGTTTGTCATTTCTGCTTTGATTAGTGCTTTTTAAAAACAGAAATAGTTGGGGGTCCCGAGAGACCTTTCTCAGTTTTCATAAAT